AATATTAAGTATGTATCATAAAACAAAATGCAGTGAATATAGAAAAGAATTTAGAATGATGCTTCATTAAATAGACCCAACAATACCTAGTATAGTCATCAATGAAAGAAACATAATATCTGAATCCTTCTTTAGTAGGAATAGTAGCAAGTCCCTCGTACATCTGAATGGACCAGATCAAATAGTGCAAGAGTTAGTTGAACTTTTGAGAAACATGACCAAGATAAGCATGTCACAATAAAAGCTAGAAGATTGTGAACTCAAATGAAAAGAATACAAATCAATAGAAAAAGCAACAATATCTGGAATATGCAACTCGTTCAACATATACAAACCACTCTTTTTACTGCTTGTCCCAATCAACTTTTTGAAACGTGGATCTTGCATAACACAATTAGAGGAAGAAAAATGAATTGCAAATTCAGAGTCAAATAGCTTACTAATTGAAATCAAATTCAAGGTAAGTTATGGAATATAATAAACATCTGGAAGTGTTAGTTGCGCGAAACAATAGACCTAATATCGGCCAAAGTCATTTGAGTACCATTAGCTGCAAGCATAGATATAGATGGAGGAGAGAAGGTAGATGCAAATAAGAAAGAATCACTTGTCATGTGATGTGTAGCATCTGAATCGAAGACTCAAGTGGTTCGAAATATACCTGAAAGACCCGAAGTGAATGAATCTATGGAGGGAGAGACTGAGAAAGTATTAGGCTATTGGAGAAGCGTCTGCAACTAATCAACAATCATAGTCCGAAGAAAGTAAATGTTTCCACTAGCCATAATCCAAGAAATTGCCATAGATGATGTTAGCCTTAATCCAAGAACATATTTTTTCTCTAACTAAATTACTGTGATGCTACAATATGGTTTGGATTGAAACCATGCTCTGATACTATGAAACTTTGGTCGCAGAAAGAAAAGCGAAAGGAGAAGAAAATATTATTATTGCTAAACAAGTGTGTGATACAACTTAACCTAAAATACACAATATAGACCCTTATATAGTAGGGCAACAAAAAATAAAATAAATGTCAAAACTACCCTTAATATAATAGTCTAACATTTTCAATGAGGGGAGTTGAATGGTGTTGGTTTGAATACTATACCTGGTTGGGGAGAAGCTCACACAGCCATAGGTAGGTGTAGTTTTTACTATACATCATCTTCATTTAGCCATGAAATTTTCTTGAGTTGCAGAAAATTCTGGTTTGGGAGGCCTACTTTGCATCACTATATCTCTTACTACAAAAGTTTGTTTGATTCAAATAATATACCATTGAAAAGCTCTCCCAGCATACTTTATAACTACATATTTTTTGTTGCATAAAAAATAGATTTAATGTGATGAAATTTGGCTGGAAAAATTTCAACATAGTTCACGAAATTGGTTTTTCTTTCCCTGCCAAATGGCTCCTCCTTAGGCCCCCAAATGCAGAAAAGAGGGCTTGGATATATCCTCACGGCTTGGATGATCCTTGGTTGTTAACATGCTTGCTAATATGCAGAAAAAAGGGCTACTAGAGTCCTATAAGCACCCACACCCACACCCACAAAATCTATGAATCCTTCAAGATGGTGATTCCTAATAGACAAATGTTGGAGGAGAGAAAGTGACGAATATTTGGGTGTTGTTCATTGTATTTTGTATACCTCTATATTAAATACAAGAGTTGAGATGGTATATAAATCTCCTATCTCAATCCCAACTTATTGGTTATCTCAACTAATGATAAAATTAGGATAATGGAGAAGAATCTAAACCCATCACGACTCTTACTACCTAGAGGACACTATCGGGTTGTTATCACAAGTATGAACTCAACGGTTTTCGAATGATTTCTGGTCAAAAAACAATGATTTGTGGTGTTTGAAGTTGCAAAATCAGTACCAGAACATAAAACATCTTGTGTATGGTACATTTGAAAAATTAGTGATTTCTTTTTCATGTGATATTTATAAAGGAGAGGCAATTGTTTTCAATAATCTTTTGATAGGTGAATGGAGAGAAAACATGATTGGATGAGCAAATTCCCATTATCAGATTGATCTGGCCATTGAAACTCTATTACACTTCATCATGACCCCTTAATAATGCATTTCTTGTATTCATTATCAACAGTGGAAGACAAAAATTAGTTCATGAGTTGCTTGGTTCCATTACTGCTACTTGATGTAACCTATTTGGCAGTCGAAACAATCTCTAGCTATTGTGCAACTCAACTCAACTCAACTCAACTTGCCTTTATCCCGATTACTTGGGGTCAGTTACATGAATCAATTCTGTTTCTCAATTGTGATCAACTATAGTGCAGCCATACACATTAGATATGTCTGAGGTTGTTGGACAACATCTGTGAGTAAAAAATGATTACAACATCTGTGAGTAAAAAATGATTACACTAACTTGCCTTTATCCCGACTACTTGGGGTCAGTTGCATGAATTCATGAATTCTGTTTCTCAATTGTGATCAGCTATAGTGCAGCCATACACATTAGATATGTCTGAGGTTTTTGGACAACATCTGTGAGTAAAAAATGATTACAACATCTGTGGGTAAAAAATGATTACACTAACAAAAAATGACTACTTCTAGATAGGAATATGCTGTCCTGGTAGAATTCATGGCAACACATGATATGGGCAGTAGGTAGTTTCCTCTTTGTACTTGAAGGTCTTTTCTTGTCAGTATTATGGGAAAAATAGAGGTAGTTATCATTTATTCAAATAGTGTCTTGGTATTATCATATGCAATAGTTGGGAATATTAGATCAATGCAAATTAACAAGTGAAAGAACTTCTGAAAAATGATCTATAAGTAGCAAATCTTATTTATGCAATGAATAAAGTGTTAAAATCTTGATCCTTTAAGCTTAAGGTTAATTGAAGGTTTCATCTATTGATTCTAATGGGCAAATTTAGAAGGATCCCCTAGTTCGTAGGATTTGGCATGAGTCTATGGTAAATTCACTAGTAATAGATTTTAGTTGCAAATTGAAAGAAATGTGTGGATGAAGGCATAAACCATAACAAATGCAACAAGAACATGGTATACCAGTTACCAAACAAATTCATCCTTCATGTTACTATTGGTTTATTTTATATTTCCCTATACAAATGCTTATACATGTAAATGCCCACAAACATTTTGCCCCCATTTGGCAGATAAGGAGGTCTCTAAGTCTAAAATCAATACATGAACTTAAGGATAAGTTAACAGGTCGTTCTCCCGTTTTACACCCATAAGGTAATTACCTGGATAATTTTCAAAACAAACGAGAAATTGTTTACAATAGTGTTATGCCTTCTGCATCCTCATACTCAACTCAACTCAACATCACTTTGTCCCAAAAATTTTGGGGTAGTTATTTGAATCATTTCGCGTCATTGTGTTCTATTAAGGACCATACTTTTTGTTGTACCCTAAATTACCATATATTTTTTTACTAGTTTATTTAAGGTTAATTTTGACCATCCTCTACTCTTACGTTTATTGTCAATAACTATCATATCACTTTTTCTCACTGGTGCCATAGTAGACTTAAATATATCTAAATCACCTTGGTCGATTCTGCCTTAATTTATTTCCTAGAGGTATTGCTTCTAGTTTTTTACGGATATAATTGTTCCTAGTTTCTTTCTTAGTTTTTCACACATCTATCTTAACATTCTCATTTTTGCCACACCTAATTTTTGAACATGTTTTTTCTTTGTTGCCTAACACTTAGTACCATAGAGCATAGTGGGCCTTATGACTATTCTATAGAACTTGCCTTTTAGTTTTAGGGGTATGCGTCTATCACACAATACACTGGATGCATTCCTCTATTTAGTTCATGCTGTATTAATTTTATAAGCAACATCGTCACTAATCTCACAATCTCTATGAGTAATAGACCATAAATATTTAAAATGTTTACTCTTTTGTATCATTAATCTTCAATTTTTACTATTTCTTGATTTGGATTCTTCTTTTTAATAAAGTTACATTTCATATATTGAGTTTTAGTCTTATTTATCTTAAATTCTAGAGCTTCTCGCCATATTTCTAGTTATTATTAATTTTTTATTTACTTTCATCAACTAATACAATATTATCTGCAAATAACTCCATGGTAGATTATTCTAAATATGTCTAGTCAGTTCATCTATAATCAAAGCAAAAGGCTTGGTGTAAGCCTACTGTCATTGGAAATTCATTAGTCTATCTCGTTGTTGTTCTAACTAAGGTCATAACATTTTCATACATATCCTTAATCACATCCATATATCAAACAATAACTTTTTTCTTCTCTTGAGCTCTCCATAAAATATATCTCTAGAGACTATCATATACATTCTCTAAGCCTATAAAAAATATGAAGCTCCTTATTTTTCTCTTTATGCCTCTCCAATTGTCTCCGAAGTAAATATATCTTCTATTGTTGATCTCCCAAGCATAAATCAAACTGATTATTAGATATTGTAGTTTCAAACCTTAGTCTTTGTTTAGTCACTCTCTCAAAAAGTTTCATTGTATGACTCATTAGTTTTATACCCCGATAGTTTGTGCAACTTTGTATGTCTCCCTTATTCTTATATGTAGATACTAAAATGCCCTACAACCACTTATCGGGCATTTTCTTAGTCATTATAATTTAATTAAATAAATTAGTTAACCATGATACCTAAACTTCCCCTTGATACTTCCTAACCTCCATAGGTATACATTCAGTCCTAAAACTTTTCCTCTCTTCATTTTTTTTAATGCCTCCTTTACCTTCGACATTCCTAATTTTATAATGTATTTTCTCTAATCTCTCTATGATTTCTATGGTCCTTGATGTCTAATCTCTCTCTAATTTCGCTAAAAAATGAATATTTGCTTGGATTGAAATGATTCCACTCTGGAATCATTTCACATATATCAAGTCAAAAAAGAAACTAAATGCAAATAATATGTGGCAAATAAAATCTTTTCTACTTCTAAAAAGAAATTGAAAAATTTAAATCGGAAATGGAAAGTAAATACACAAAACCAAACGCATTAGTGAAACCCAAACTTGGATCTTTTTGGTATATGGGTATTGTTGTTTTTTTCCTATGTGGCTAGCTAAAATGTCATGTGGAATAAATTCATTTATCATGCTTTAGGTTTATATGTCATGTTTTGTACGCTAATGAAAATGTTTCTTGTAGTGTTGATAACTCGTTAATTTTTTCTTATCTGCAGAATGTATTTATAACAGGAAAAGTAAAAGGAACAAAAGCAGGCAGATTTTTTTTTTTACATTATATTGCATGAAGGGATTTATGGTTCACTTTAAATGAAATATTTAGTCTACGGCTCCATTCTTGGCTCAGTTGTGCTTCCTTAGTTATTCGGTTTATTGTTTATGGCAAATGCTCTACTTGCCGCATCTAACTGCCTCTGCTATCTACAACAGACTCAATTCTGTTTCCTGATGTACCAATTGCACTCCGATTGTCTAGCCATCTTCTGCTTGGTGTGGTGCGGATATATTCTAGGAAGGTGAATTACCTTTTTGATGATTGCAGCGAGGCTTTGCTCAAGGTAAAACAAGCTTTTCGCTCCACTGCTGTGGATTTACCAGCCGAAGAATCCACTGCACCATATCACTCCATAACCTTGCCGGAGACTTTTGATCTTGATGATTTTGAGTTGCCAGATAATGACATTTTTCACTGGTTCGTTGTGAAATTTCTTGTTTATTTTTCAAAGCGAAGCTATGTCTGTTAGTGTACATGATAGTTTACGGTAATAATATTTCGAAAGGTGTTGCTTCTGATCATGTGGTGGTTCAATAGACGTACTATCATAAATGGACCCTTTCTTCTCGACAGTTTCAAGCTTTATGGGATAATAATTTCTGCCTTGATTGCTTAACCACCCTTTGTACTATTAGATATCGGGACTGGAACATCCCCTTATGGTATCAAGTTTATAAAAATGAGCAGATGTTTAGGTGTCTCCCATGAATATTGATCTGGATGAATCATATGGTGGTCTAATGTTTGCATTCTGATTGCAAATGCTGCAGTAACTTTGTTGATCATCATGTCAGTTCAAGGGAGCAGATTACTCTCCAAGATACCATGGAGGGTGTTGTTTACTCCAGATCACAGTTTGGCCTGGATGGTTAGTATAGCTTTTGCATGACAAAGCTCGACTCTGTGGTTAATGAATAACATGAATTTTATAATGTTACCTATGAATATCCTTGTTTTTCTTGTTGGTGTGTTTTATAGAAAGATTTGGCGATGGCGACACTTCCGGCTTAGAACTTGATGAGGTACTATATCATTGTTGGTGATGTTGTGACCTTGTATTAAATTTAATTGTTTAATGGTAGGTTGAAAATAGAATATCGATATAAAAGAGGGAGCTGTCTTCCCTAGCCTCCCCAACACACTCTTGATAAGAAAGAAACCTATTTTTTTGGGAGCGAGAACCTAATGTGGATCTTCCCTTACGATTATACACGTGGAGCTTGCGACACTTTACGTAGATGGGGTGGGGGTTGAATACGTTATTTCAATTTTATCTCAATTGATTGCCAATGAAAACCTAATCGACTACAATTACCTCTTCCCACAAAGATATAGTCAATTAATGTGAGAACCCCTTTCAATCACCACAACCCAACACACCCATGAACATTGAAGTTAATTAATGTTCAATTAATTCACTCAAAACTCTCAATCTCACGGGGATCCCAAACCTAATGTACAATTATGGTTGAATGGATGTCAAAAAATCATTCATATAAGCACATAACACATAGTGCGCACGTGTGCTAACAATAACTAGTGTATATGAATGAACAAGAAAAAACAAAAGTGATTTGTTGACGCGGAAATCTTCCTCGGGAAAAACCATAGGGAATCTTCTCGGTTCACCAAAATCTAATCCACTATTCACAAAATCAATATACAAATATTTGAGTCTTATACCTCAACTAATACCATGGTTAGATGCTCATTTCCTTGTTTTCTCTCCGCCAAAGGTCTTCCTTTCACGTCTTGCATTGCTTCACTTAGAGTCCCCATCACACGGTTCGTCTAGGTATCAAGTAATCATGAGCATGCCAATGATTCATGCTATGCACACACCAATGGGTTTGCCAAACCATTAAGATCTTCTAACTCCAATTATGAGATTGGATACAATCTCTAGTGGTAGCCTTAGATCTTTAGGAATCTAGCTTAGTGGTGAAAGCTCTCAAGGTAGAAGATGTATTTTCTCTCTTAGAAATATCAGAAGAGGCTTAACCAAGCGGTGAAAAAGGCTCTCTCTATTTATAGGTTCGGAATAAGAGTAGACTTGGTCAACAAGAAAATTTAAATTCGCGAATTGATCGGTGGGAGGACAGTCACAAGATGGTTGTCACTGGAATAAAGACGAGGTTCTAATTTTGATTGAGGGAGCAGACCGCTTGAGTGATCATGAGAATACTCGAGTGAGGTCAAGGGACCGCTCGAGTGAGCCATGAAGAGATTGTTCTAGTGAAGGCTAGCGAACATAGGCCTTATCAATTTTTTAAGCATAAAACTAAGTAAAAAAACTTATCTTCTTGAGCACTAAATGCTATTGCTTAAGAGGGATCCAATAATTGCTCAATCTATGTTTTCAAAACACAAAAATAGTTTACAAAAATTTTTCTTTTCAAAACACCTAAGAGCCATACTCGGATTGTTTCAAATTCCATGTTCATCTTAATCATCCCAAGTTAAAAGTAACTAAGAGTTTATTTTAGGTGTCTAGTCATTATCTTTGTCCTAAGCATGAAAGTATATTTAGAGATTGAATGATGTTGTTTTAACGCTTGATCTCTTCCCCTCAATGATGATTTTGGATCTTCAACTTAATAGCATCATGATTATGGAAAAGGTTGTGATTTACAATAGACTATACGAAATTAGTCAATTACAAATGTATATCAAACAATCTTTCCTTTTGACAATTTTGTGAGAAAATAAGTTAAAATAGCAAATAATATTAAGGTTAGAGAAAAGTAAATGGAAAAAAGTAGACAACAATTTGTTGTGTTTGAGAAATGTTGCCCATACACTCTCTTATTTATATTGAACCCTATTTTGGAGTGATAATCTTCTTTTGCATTCAGAGATCTCGAATAAAATGATAATCCATTTCTATGTGTTTGGTGCGCTCATGAAACATTGGATTACTAGGAATGAAAATAGTTGCTTGATTATCACGATGCATCAGTATAGGAGAAGGCACACTAATTCCCATATCACGAAGTAGTGCACGCACCCACAACATTTCACACATCTTGTGAGTCATAGGCCAATATTCTGCCTTAGCACTTGAACATGCAACTACATTCTATTTCTTGCTATGCCCAGTAACAAGATTACTATCAATAAATGTGCAATAGCCAGAAGTAGATAGTTGACCAGTGTCCAGTTAGCATTAGAAAAGCCAATAATGTTCATACATGGTAAGACTGATATAATAATCCTTTCTCAAGTATTCCTTTAAGATATCGAAGGATACAACAAGCAGTCTCCCAATGAGGATTGCGAGAAGTATGCATAAACTGACTAATTACTCTAAGTGCAAGTGTCATATTAGAACGCGTAACTGTGAGGTAGATTAGTTTACCAATTAATCTTTGATAACAATCTATGTTACCAAAAACTTTTCAACTGTTAGCATCTAACTTGACTGCAGAATCTGTTAGGGTATCAACAGGACAAGCACCCAGAGTACTAGTCTTAGATAGTAAATTCAATACGTACTTTCGTTGACATACTTTGATACCTTTCTTTGATCGAGCAATCTCAATCATAAGGAAGTACTGAAGAAGACCCAAATCTTTAGTGTAAAACTGCTTCCCCAAATGAAACTTAAAACTGACAATACCATCAAAATCATCACTACTAATGATAGTGTCATCAACATATACAATGAGAATGATAACTCCTTAGATAGAATAATGAATAAAAGAAGAATAATCTGAAGTAGAACGCTGAAAACGATATTGAAGGACTACAATGCTGAATTTATCAAATCAACCACATGGTGACTGTTTTAGACCATATAGTACTTTATTCAGATGACATACTAATTGTTCCTTACCAGAAGTAACATACCCTAGATGTTGAACAATGTAGACCTCCTCCTACAAATATCCATGTAAAAAGACATTTTTATGTCCAGCTGGTACAAGGGCCAATCAGGACAAGCTACAATCGAAATAAGAACTCTAACAGAGTTAAGTCGGACAACAGGAGAAAATGTCTCATAGTAATCGACACCATATATCTAGGTGTATCATTTGGCAACTAATTGAGCTTTTAAACACTTGATAGAGCCATTAGGAAGATATTTCATAGTATAGACCCAACGACAACTAACAAGCTGCTTCCCTGGAGGAAGTGAGGTGAGATCTCAAGTTTGATTCTCATGAAGAGTTTTCATCTCCTCATTCATAGCTAGTTTCCCCCCCCAGGAGATGCCAAAGCCTGTGTTAAGGAACTAGGAACAACCATAGATGATAAGGTGGATGCAAAACAATGGAATGATGAAGAAAGACGATACAAGGAAACAAAATTAGAAATGGGATGTCTGGTATAGTTACGAGTACCTTTCTTCAGAGTAATCGGCAAATTAGAAGAGGATAAACTAGTTGACGGCTTAGAAGGTAGGACCTCAGTAGAATTAGGCGATAGCTGTGGAGCAGGAGTATATGGAACAACTTGTTTGTCTTTGGAACGATGATAAACATGCAAGAGAGGTGTAGTAGTCGAGGAGTACAACATGTAACAAGGGCTCCCTTTGACTAGAAAATATTAAATCTGGTGAAAATGTACGTCCTAATGCAGAAAAGAAAGAGGATGACTAAAAAAAAAGGTAACATCAGTACTGATGTAGTATCGACGAGGGATTGGTCATAGCACTAATAATCTTTCTAAATATAAGAATAACCTAGAAAGACACACTTAATTGATCGATGTGAAAATTTATCTTGACTTTGACTAAGAAGAACAACAAATATGATACAACCAAAGACACGAGGAATGAGTCCAAATTGCAATCTATTAGGATAAAGTAATGAGAAAGGAAACTTGTTGTCCAAAAGTGGGGAAGACATGCAATTAATAAGATAAATTGAAGTAAGAAAAACATCAATCCAATATGATTTTGAAAATGCATGTTAAATATCAAGGTGTGGGCAACATGCAACAAATGACGATATTTAGGTTCGGTAACACCATTTTGCTGGGAGGTATGAGGATATGTAGTTTGATGGATAAGGCCACAGTCTGCACAAAAGTTTTTCATAAATGATTGAATATACTCAAGTACATTGTCAAATTGAACCACCTTAATACGGGTATTAAATTGAACTTGAATTTCATTATAAAAAGTGTTAAAGACTATAGACAATTCAGATCAGTCTTTCATAGAGTCATCAATAACAACATTTATGGATTCCATAATAGTAGATGTTGTCAAATTAAACACTCTACTATTAGTGGAGTATCCAAGAAATATTCCTTCATCGCTCTGGGAGTCAAATTTATCTAAGTTCTCTTTATCTCTCTAGATGTAGCATTTGCTCCAAAAAACTCGGAATATTTCAAATTGAGCTTGTTGCCTTTCTAAATCTCATAGGAGTTTTGACATATGTCAGGCCTATGGTAGACTCAATTAACAGTGTAACATATAGTGTTCACAGCCTTAGCCCAAAATTTCGCAGACAATTCCTTACTATGAATCATGACACGTGCCATTTCTTGAATGACTTTGTTCTTTCTTTCGATTGTGTCATTTTGTTGTTGGGTCTTGGGTGTTGAAAACTCGTGGTTGATACCATGTTTATCACAGTAAGCACAAAAGTCAGAATTGTCAAATTTCCTATTGTGATCAATTCAAATTCTAACAACATTACCTATGGGCTCACCTCGTTTATTTTGAGCTTTCTTGCAAATGTTTCTACAGCTTGCAAAAGCCTCAAATTTTTCTCTTAGAAATGCAGCCCAAGTGTACCTAAAGTAGTCATCTAACATTACCAGAATGTATCTCTTATCACCTATGCTCTGAGTTTGTGTAGGACCCATGAGATCCATGTGAATGAGCTCTAGGGGCTCTTAGTTATGGTGGTCTTCACTTTCATGTGTGGGACTTTAGTTTGTGTTCCTAATTAACACAGGCCACACACTTTGGTCGAAGCTTTGCTCAACTTAGGTACTTCCCTCACAAGCTCCTTTCTCATGATTCGATTCAAGTCCTTGTATGTGACCTAATCTTTGGTGCCGTAGTGTGACTTCATCAACACTTGCCCTATGACATAGTAGTGAAGGGCTTGGAGATATGCAATAACAATTATCTCCCGACCTAACCCCTTCTAAAAGATAATCTATATTATTATTTAATACAGAGCATTTGTCTCTTGTGTAGTGTACAATATTGCCATCATTACACAATTGGCTAATACTGAGGAGGTTAACTTTCAATCATTCCACATAGAGGATATTATAAAACTTTGGCATGCCCAATGGTTTAATGAAACCCTTCCCAACAACCTTGGAGATACTATCATCTCCAAATCTGACAGTCCCACCCACCATTACACTTTTCCAATATGCAAAAGTGGGACTTCTCTCCTGTCATGAGCCTAGAACAACCACTATGGAAGTATCATTTACTATCCACTTGGGCTTTCAAGGTAGTATGCACTTCAACACACAACTTATGACTCGATGATGCAACTATTCTCTGCTAGGTATGTAAGCAACAACAAAAAATGCCTACAAGTGTCTACGTGCTTTTGGCAACTAAACTCTGATACCAATTGTTGTTCTGGGGAGGGAAACCTGATGTGGATCTTCCTTCACGATTATACACGTGGAGCTTGAGACACTTTACCTAGAGGGGTGTCAATTGATTACTAATTAAAACCTAATCGACTATAATTACATCTTCTCACAAAGATATGATCAATTAATGAGAAACCCATTTAATCATTACAACTCAACACACCCATAAAGATTGAAGTTAATTAATGTTAAATTAATTCATTCAAAACTATCAATCTCAATCTCATAGGGATTCCAAAACTCAAACCCAATGTACAACTATGGTTGAATAGATGTCAAACAATTATTCAGATAAGCACATAGTGTGCGTGTGTGCTAACAATCACAAGTGTATACAAATAAATAAGAAATAACACAAGTAATTAGTTGATGCGGAAACTCTCAGAAAAAATCACGAAAAACCTTTTCGATTTACCAAAAATCTTATACCTCAACTATTACCATTTTTAGATACTCATTTCTTTGTTGTCTCTCTGCTAAAGGTCCTCCTTTCACGTCTTGCGTAGTTTCACTTGGAGTTCCTGTCGCACGGTTCATCTAGCCCTCAAGCAATAATGGGCACGCTAACGATTTTCGGTATGCACACACCAATAGGTTTATCAAACAATCAAGATCTTCAACTCCAATTTGTGAGATTGGGTAGAATTGTTTGTGATAACTTTGGATCTTAGGGATTTAGGTTAGTGGTGGAAGCTCTCAAGATACAAGATGTATTTTCTCTCTTAGAAATCTCATAGGAAGCTTAATCTAATTGTGGGAATGACTTTCTCTATTTATAAGTCCAGAATAAGGGTAGCCTTGGTCAACAAGAAAACTCAGATTCGTGAAGGAGTACTTGATTGTTGGGAGGGCAATCACAGGACGATTGTCACTAGAATGAAAACAAGGTTCGAATCTTGACTGAGGGAGCAGACTGCTCGAGTGACTATGAGACCGCTCAAGTGAGATTATGGGACTGCTCAAGCGAGTTCATAGAGTGAACCTATCTCCTTTCGTTACCTTTTCTCATTTTCTCCCCTAACTCATGAAGAGACCGTTCTAGCGAAGGTTAGCGAACATAGGGCGGTCCTTGCTGATTTTTTAAACGTAAAACTAAGCAAAAAACTTGTCCTCTTATGCGCTAAAATGTGTTGCTCAAGAGGGATCCGATAATTGCTCAATCTATATTTTAAAACACAAAAATAGTTTAGAAAAACTTTTGTTTTCAAAACACCTAAGGGCCATATTCTGATTATTTTTAATTCCATGTCCATCCTAATCATCCTAAGTTAAAAGTAACTAAGAGTTCATTTTAGGTATCTATGTCATTTTCTTTGTCCTAAGCATGAAGGTGCATACGGAGGTTGAATGATGTTGCTTTAACGCTTGATCTTCTCACTTCGATGACGTTTTTGGATTTTTAACTTGATAGCATCATGACTATGGAAAAGATTGAAATTTACAATGAAATCCATAAAATTAGCCAATTACAAATATATATCTAACAAATCCCATTGCCATAGAGAAGAGATCTGAAGTTAACTGGTTTTAAAATATTGAGATTAGAAGATGCCGTGGAGTTAGAAATCTTACATTGTTTAGCTAGCACATTTATGCAATAAACTTACAAAACTTTATGCAAGGCCCTTGTGGCCAAAAATAACCTTACTATATAATATAATGCAGCATCCAACCAGATACAAACAAAAATACTTCACATTTATATACTAAAAGGCTACTACTTCTCCTAAATATAATTTCCATTGAAGTTTTCTTTTCTTAAATTGGTTGCAAACAGGAATTGCTTTTGGACAAGGGTGCAGCTGCAGGACATGCTGGGTTTATGTTGAGTTCAGGGTATGCAGTTTGTCTGTCTGTGGCATTATCATCTGATACTTCTTTGTGTTGGAGGAAGATCATCCCCTTGAGTCGATTCCTTTATTTGTTTATCGTTTTGCAGCTTTTGCTGATGTTAGATTGGAAACAATGGTATCTCAACTTCCATCCACTCAATCTAAGATGTGCATACTAGTTAATTTAACACGAAGAACCCGTCATGAAGAGTGAATTTCCTGGGGAGAGAAAAGTGTGCCAAACCTTTAAACTGCTTCAAGAGTAAATCTAAAAACAAAGAAATCAATACATGATATGCTAAAGAAATACGACAATAATATATTATGTCTTGGATCCACGAGGTTGCATGATGGATATGACTTTTAGATTTTCCATCATTTGCTTTATACTGGCAGATCATTTCCACAAACGTACACATTGATTTTAACATGATTAATTTCTTCTAAAATGTCTAATGTAACTGGTCAGCCTCAAAGATGTCCCCAAAACACCTAACAACATAATCTAAATACAAAAAATTTACTAAGAATTAGAATTCTAGAGGCATCATCTAAATACACTCATAACTTATTTCCCTCACATGTCACATAATTGTAAAAAATAGGGGGCTCAGGCTACAGAGCGCAAAGAAAAACATGGCAGACAACTTCAAAAATATTATCACATCATGATGATGTCCCAGAAGAAATCACATTTTCTAGTGATAAAGACAACTCAAAAGCACAATAGACATTCATAATCAAACTTAATCATCATCATGCTGATTTAATAATTCCTCTAAAACATGATAATATTAACAGACGAAAACAATTGAGAACAAATAAAATAAATACTTGCCGAGCAAATTTGACATCCACAAAGCAGAGTAAGTCCATTAATTTTTTTTAACCCCTGAACTACAAACCAAAAAAGCATAAGCCCTAATTTAATGTAACAGGAAACCCCTGACCAACCAACGGAGAACGCCAATTGTCCATAGAAGTTCAACTTCAAAAAGCCAATCCGGACCCCATCCAAACACTTGTAGAGCTTGAGCTGCCCTTTTTGAGATTAAGTTGAGCCTGGGTTTAGGAAAATAGAATCCGACCCAAACTTCGATTGAGTTCAAGTCAACTTTCAAAACTAAAAAAATAAGCCCTACCAAGCCCAAGCTTTATATATTACCCATATAATATATTACTTTAATATTAAGCTTTATGGTTACCAACAATGTGCTTCTTACCGTACAAGAGAACATATGCACCACTGGCTAAGGCCGAGTCTTGGTTTGGTACATAAAATTTAGGAAATGATGGGAACCTTTGTGGTTGAATGGTACACCTCCTATTCCTAGTTATTTTCTTCAAATTTGTCAGACCACTATTCTAGTTCATGTTGGTTTTGAAGGTTATACTTTTATTTTGCCATTATAGTTGATTAAATTAATCAATGGTTTGAATCTGATTAGGAGTGTTTTAATAATTAAGCCTGAGCAAACTCAATAATCCAGGTCCAACTACTACAATTTGTTGTATATAGGGATGAAAAGTATATGTAATAGCAAAATGCTCATCCAGAACTGCAATAACATATGATCAAATAGAAGTTCCTCAGATTTTCCGCATTACCTAACATATTAGCAAACCATCTGATGAAGACCATCAAAGAGAAGTACTGAATTCACATGCTCCTTGACGAACCACTTCCTCACCCACCACCCAAAAAAAAAAAAAAAAATCCCAAAGAAACCCATAAGAAAAAACAAAACTAGGAAAAGATAAGTGAAAAAGAATAATACAGAAAAAAAGGTCCATTTCATGGAAACAAAATTTATACACGAAACTGGTTCATAAGAAAGCCAAATTCAACAAAACGTTGCCCCAACTATCTAGGGTTGGCTTCCTAAATCATATTCCTCCATTATTCTCTATCCATGACCACGATAACAGCTAAAAGCATGTTATCATATTAATTTTTAGTACCTCATTCAAAACTTAATTTCATGTTGGACATTATGTCTTATAGAAGGTTATGAGGGAAAATCAATTAGATCTCTGATCATTTGGTTTAAATTAAGGTGTATATCATCTGCTCTAGTCCTCTTCTGATGTGGCCTTTTCTAGTCTATGGTTAGGTAAATAAGAAGGTAACTTCATTTGGCGCACATGTCTTTTTCTTAGCGACCATTCCCTAATGTAGTGGTGAAAGTGTCAGGTTAACAACCATGAATTGGGTCTGTACCCAGTCTGCCGCTTAAAGTACTTCTTGATTAACAGGGGCAAAGTTGGGTAATCACTCTTTACGACCCTTTGGGTGCCTTTTCTCTGCCAAAAACATGGTTGTGTTTTTCTTTTGGGAAGTAAGCTACATGATTGTGTTTTGTGGAATTAACACTCATAATTATGCAGCATAGTTATCTATCATCTGCATAATTTTTCCCTGAAATATCTATCCCTAGGTTAGAGGCTGTTATCTTCAGGCCACACACCATGGTTGTTTACTCTGTTTGTTGATCTCTAAGAAGCATCCAATCACTATGAATTTCTCACATATTCACTCCTTGATTCCAGTGTTGATCCTCTGGCATCTGTTCAACCAATCACTCCTCTCAACCAGGATGAAGCTCCCGAGGGCATGACTGCAAACACCGAGAATGTGCTAACTACTGGCGATGTAAATCAGGTTAGTTTTGGTATTGAAAGTTCAAAGGCAGCTGATGAGTCTAGTTCCCCTTTTGCTTTTTATTATCAAGTTGTGGTGGTGAAGTTCTATTTATGATGTGATATTGGAATTACCCCACAGTTTCGTGAATATATTTCTTTTTGTGAGCAGATTGAAGGTGTTTTCGGGGATACCGATTTTGCTGAGTTTGCTCAGGCCCCAAGTACTCCTGGATTGGTGCAAGAGCCAAACTTGTCCAGTGTGCAAGAGACTTCAGCTTGTGATGATCCCTTGGAATCAGAAGATCATAATTTGACAGAATTTGTTGCTAAGGAGAGCTTGGAAAACACTCTGTGTAAATCAGACATCCAACATGGGAATCAAAATGTGGTGGATTGGTCTTCAAATGGTGATGTGAATCCTGATACAGTTACTAGCATACCTGCTGAGCAGAATAGGTACCATTTGGGTGATATGGAGATCAATCAAATAAAGTCACAGTGGCAGTCCTCTGCTTTAGCTGATCAAGGTAGAACCATATCTCTAGTTTCAGAATTGTCAGATAGCATCATTGCCGCATCTGGTGGTCCATACAGGGAGCAAGATTTACGGAGTGATATTGTGAACACCAACAAGCCCGTCAGTCACTCCATTGATGCATCCCATGAAGATCATGTGGAGCCCCAAGGAGTTGGGTTGTCTGAAATTACTCCGGACATGTCTGGTTTAAGAAGGACCTGTCAACAAGTCTCAGAAGGTTTTGCAGAGAATACTCAAACGTCACTCAAAACAGAGGTTTCGAACCGAATAGGAATCACAGGAAACATGGAGGAATCATGCTTCATTAGCGATGCATCAGAATTAATTGCCGAATCAAATAGACCTGACCTTCAAAACCCTGAAATTCAGCCTTGTCAGGAGCCAAAAGATTCTAGGTTTCTGAATATTGCTGTTCATGCAGAAATGGCTTGCACTGAGACCCCTGTAATTAGGCCATGCAATTTGCACCAGCCCGATACATTAAATCCTGGGAGTGTCAGTTTCCTTGATCCTGATTCTCCATCTGAAGTTGCTAGGTTGCGCTTACTGGAAACCTCTGGAAGTGAGGAGGCACCCCATACTTCTGAAATTTCCACTGTGTTGCAAGGTTGGTCTGATAAGCTTATGTGTATAGTTTAGGATGGAATTATAGCTTATACATTTATAGGGTTCCTTAGTTTGGGTATTGAATGTATTTGGTTTTTCCAGGTGACGGTTATCACGGGGCAGGTGGTCTGGGACTAGTCTTAGAGGAAAACAATGCAACAGAACCCGTTTCATGTGAAAGCATTCAGGCGCCTTGTAGCAAATCAAATGATCAAGCAGACAATTTGATTTCTGGATATTGTCACTTGGAGAATAGTTCTACAGGTTCTGGCTTGCCTGCCCTCGAGAAATTACTTTCCATCCCAGAAGGTCTTGCTGATCCGCCGAGTAATTTGCTTGTGGCGGCTACACCAGACAAAGGAGACTCAGCAGGGGCTGATGGAGATGGTGCTGGGAGCAATATCATGTCAGGGAAAAAGCGTAGTTTCACTGAAAGTACACTAACTGTGCAGAGTTTGGATTCTGTTGAATCTTTGGATGTAGTCTGGACCAAAAGAACTGCAGAGCCTATTCCTGACGATGATGATTTATTGTCTTCTATCTTAGGCATGTTTATGTGCTTCTCTCTTTTGGCTTTATGGAATGGTCACATGCCGCTATGCTCCTAAGACCATTCTGAGTTGACAAGTGATTTCTATTTTTTTATTTTATTTTAGTAGAAGATTTGGTTGTTTTTTGCTTTTATAAATTTTCTGATAATATTGGGATGTGTGCTTCAGGTGCAAGAAGATCTTCGGTTTTGAAATTAAAGCCCACTCCTCTTGCTGGTCCTGAGATAATGTCTATGAAGCGCCCCCGATCTGCTCCCCGGATTACGGCTTCAAAAAGGAAGGTGCTTACGGATGATACCATGGTTTTGCATGGCGAGTATGTTCCATTTACTGCGCTTGCTATTATTCATGTTCCATCTCCGATAGTTTTATCTTTTTTTTCACTTGTTTGCAAGAGAATTACCGTAAAACAATAAATGAAAAATAAAAATAAAAACTGTGGGTCTTGTTTTTCATGCATTGGATAAGATTGAATTGAAGATTTGGATTTATTTATTAGATTACTTACTTAGAGACTAGTTAACCGAGTGGGAGCATTTGAATATATTTTTGATATCTCCCCCCTCTCCCCCAAAAAAAAGAAAAAAGAAAAAAAGAATAGTTTTTGAATAAGTTCTAGTAGGAGAGTAATTTTTTAAAAGTTTAAGGTTTGATATAGATAGAGAAATTGTGAGCAATAATGTGAGAGTAGGAAAAGAATTGACAATACCTCCCTTTCACTCTTAAGATATATAGGTATCACAATAAAATGTTGAAAAGATTAATATAAACATGAGTGCTATACTTCATGCAATAATATCCAGAATTCACAATTTAACACTCCGTCAAGCTGGTGCAAGTTGATCTTCGAATTTCACAAATGGTGTAGAAATATTCTCATTGCGTATCTTGTCCCAAATGAATTGTCAGTCAACTTCTACATGTTAGTCCTCTCCCAAAAACCTAAGAAACACGAATACGAACACGGGTGTCGTATCCGATACGATATGGATATGGGTACGGCGAGAATACAACTAATTAAAGTAATATTATATATTTTTATATATAATAACAACATTAATTACAACTAATAAGTCCTAAAACTCTAAAATATCTCCAAAATTTAAAAACCCTAAAATCCTATCCCAATCAAATTAACAAACCAGATAAATCTAAACCTAAATATCAAAATCAATGCACAAAATCAACCCCAAAAGTATTAAAATTCAAAAAAAGAAAAAAAATGAAAAAGAACCTTATATGCAGATCTGGACATGTGGATACATTGCGTAAAGGTTGATGCAAAGCTGAAGTTTCACAAGTATGGTCTTCTTCTGTCTCCTCTTCTTCTTCTTCTTCTTCTTCTCGTTGCCGAAGCAGATCTGGATACTGGTTTGATCGAATGCTTTTGTCTTTTCTCCTCTTCTCTTTGTTGTGATTCTGGACCAGGAATGAAGGCCCCTTATGTTAACACGACGTTTTCCCCTCTTTTTTTTCTTCTAGCCCTAAAAACGATGACATTTCTTTCTTTTCTTTTTTTCGTTTCAGCCCCCTCAATTTTTTGAAATAACAGATGTTATTACATCGTATTCCCCACGTATTCGAGTTGTATTCGGTTGGGGAAAAAAATTCTTTTTCTGTCGAGACACTTTTAGAATTGTCGGACACGTGTTTGACCATGTCCCACGTGTATCCATGTCAGACACATGTCCGACATTGTCATGTCGACCCTCCGACGAGTATCCGTGTTTCTTAGCGTGAAACACTAGTTTGGCAGCTATGTGAATTGTTGCCTAATTATTACAAAACGACTGTACTGGTGTCTGAGCTTGAAAAAAATCTCCTAGATAAAAGTATTGTAATAAGTCAACTCACTTGTGCGAAATCAGATAAGAGAATTTTTATTGGTTGGAGGAATTATGTTTTAGACATGTTGAAAGAGACATGAATGCTCGATTGCAAGCCTTTTGACACTTTGATTGAACCAAATCATAAGTGGAAGAGAATAATGATGACAAGGTTGATATAACCAGGTTCCAAAGAGTTGTGGGCTAGTTGATTTATCTCCCTCATAATGGGCCGGATATTGCCTATGATGAAGTATGGTGAGCAAGTTTATGCACTCTCCATGATCTAAGTAGTAAAGTCTATTGCTCTCATGCCACAGACCAATCACTTTATTCATCTTGATATCCTGAAAAACCTAATAAGATGGAGAGAATATTGCTGTAAGGATTTAGTTAACTAACTCACGAATAATAAGTTAAAGGGAAAATTAGGAACAAGTAAACCAGAGGTTAATGGCATAGACTGATGAGTAGGACGAAGATCGCCAGTTCCATGTACCGGTCAAAAAGAACCATAAGCCAGCCCAATACGTGAGTTAGATGTACAAAAATTAGAGAATAAGGAAGAAATATAAAACATATGAGCACTAGCTCTTGAATCAATGATCCAAGATGATGAATAAGGTTGAGCAACCAAACATGCAGAGTTAGCTTTGTTAGTAAGGTCAGTAGTAGGAACATATAAATGTGTAAAAAATGAAGATAATTGTTGGATGAGTAGACACAGTTGAGAAGAAAGATCAACATGAGAATTAGTTGTAGATGCAACTAGACCATTGGTAGTAATCTGATGTACTAGAGAAGTATCATTAGAAGCCTGATTAGCATATGTGGGTCTCCCATACTTATCCTAACAATAATTGTTAAGTGTCCTGTAGTCTGATGTACTAGAGAAGTATCATTAGAAGCCTGAATAGCATATGTTGGCTCCCATACTTATCCTAATAATAATTGTAGTGGCACAGGGTACAATTCCAGTCATAGCGATGACCAAGACCAGAATGACCAGTATTACTGTTGCTATCGACAAACCCAAAATTAGTTATGTAATTGAACTCACCGAAATATATCAATCCAACCATAACCGGTGCACTGTTCTGGCAAAAAGAACCCAAATCAAGATGGGACCACCCACAAACACCTCCTAGGGTCTTTAGTCGAACCCCTCTGGTGCAAAACTGTTCCCAAGACAACTGCTCCACAAAAATCCGCACAAACGACTGAAATAAAGGCCACCCCAATGGCAGAAATCACACCACAAACCAACTAGTAAGCCAAATAGAGAGCCAATAATCCTGAAACAACCACAATCACTCAGACAACAGCGAAGAGAGCCAAAGAAACTGTCCTATATATTCAGATCACTGTCGGACCAAAGCCACAACCAAAACACAGAGAACTGAAAAGTTTAGACAGTGTTCTAACCCTTTACAGTGAAGCCAATTGCTCATCTTGAACAAAAACACTTCCTAACCAATCATAGAGAGCTAAGCAACTCAGGAGGCTTCACTTAAGAGTCCTGGGGGTAGCTCAAAGCAACAACCGGTAGAGGAAGAGCTGAATATCACTAGTGTAAGAACCTGTCGGCATAAAAAACCAATCCCAAACCAGCCAAACAAGGATGGGCAACTCAGGAGGCTTCATTGAGGGCCAAATTAGAACCCTAGAGTGCACATCCAAGCAACAAACCAGCGGAAGAAGATCCAAAATCATCTTTTAAAATTTCCACTTTCAATATAACTCCTACTTTATCTGTAATTGCTCATCTAGCTGTATCAACATTTATTGCAGAGATAGACAATAACACTTATGCGAAATACTTTAATGCACCCCTCGCCCCCGAGGGGGGGGGGGGGAAGAATCGGGCTAGAAGTGAGGGTGGAAAGAGATTTATATTCAATGCATCGCATGGGGCGATTGCTAATTAAAATTCTATGTAAAAGAATAAAAAGATGATGACTAAATATATAGAACATTGGATTGAAAACACTATTAAGTGGTCCCTATATTGTAATAACATTCTATTATGTATATAAGTGTATCCTAGCTTTATCTGTATTCATATCTTACTTTTTAAGATTTTTTTCATATCGTCATATTTGTATCGTTTATGTTGTTTCCGGAGAGGGAGATTTGAACTGGAACTTCCCTCACGATTATATATGTGGATTGCACGACACTACCTAGAGAGAGAGGGAGGAGAGTTGAATAGGGTTTTAGACTTTATGCTTGGACAAACACCAAATTAAGCTTTTTACTACCTCAACTACTTCTTCTTACAACGATTGTTCAATTAGGAGTGAGACCCCCTTTTAAAGACCACGACCCCGAAGCCCATGATGATTCATATTGTTAATTTGTCAAGTAAATGCACAAACACTCAATCTCTCACGATGATCCCAATTCTTAAGACTCAAACCCTAACATACGACTATGGATGATAAATATATTCAATCAATCATTCCATCAAACGCATAGTGCGTGTGTGTGCATCAAATAACTAGGGTACATGAAAAAGTAATAACTAACAAAAGTTATTTGTTGATGCGGAAAACCCTCATCGAGAAAAAACCTCGAAGAACCACTCAGGTTTCACTAAAATCGGCTTACTAGTATTCGAGACTTATATCTCCACTAATACCATGTTTAGACTCTTCTTTTCTTCAGTAATTCTCTCCACTGGATACCCCACTAATATCTTGGATAGCTTCACTTGAATTTTCCACCGCAATGGGTTCTTTAGATCTCGAGCAATCAACAAGAAAAATAGAGTACTTTTAAGTACAAACCATGAATAAATAATTCTCATAGACTCCCATATTGTCATATATTAAAGTCTCCTAAGTAACTCCTATGGCCGCCGGGCTTGATCCATACGTCCAAATCGGGGTGACTCAGACTCCTTCACATGAGAAGTTCAATGGACTAGAAGTAGTAAACTCATCTCTCAATGGCTCTCAACTACTTCCATAGCCTTATAAACATGTACGGGTGCATATATAACCTAAATACACTATATACACATGCATGGATGAAATTTGATCTAAATGTAATGCAATTTTCATATTAAACATTAAAATGCACAATGTCATTAATCATGAAAATCACATATGTTCACAATAAAATAGTTCCATCCAAATTTCATCATCTCATAACATTACTTTAAGGCATATTCAAGAATATAGAACTCAATATCTTGAATCCTATAGTAATGGCCCCTCATTTTAGTTTAATTTCTTTCACTTGTTCAAATTTTGTTCAACTTTGACCAATGTAAGTGTGACGTGTGTAAAACCAAATTCTGACTTCATTAGCATTTTGTTTAGTTTAAATTATTAATGAAGCTCCACATAAAATCCTAATGTATCGTTTAAGTGAATACATGATCAATTAGTGAGTGTCATAATAATCTTTTTTTGACAACCCCCCCTTTTCTTTTATCCCTTCTACTCTATGACTTCAATTAACACGATGTGAATTTTGTACTTTGTAAATATGCTTTTAAACATGTTTAGCATGACCTCTTTTGAGCTTTACAAATGAGCAATGAATATTAAACATAAGAACTCAACAATTCAAGTGCAATTATT